TGGCCCATGACGAGACGCGGCATGGCGCCGCTCCGGCGCCCCCACCTCGCACGTCTCGCTCCCGAACAGGGGGCTACATGCCTACGTACATGAAACTTTGGCAAGGCTTTTGGCCTACGCGCAACTGAAAAAAGGTCAGTGACGCAAACGTTGGGAGGGCATATTCCAGAAACTTCTGCTTCACGCTTGTATCGTGCACGCAGCTAAGCTCTTATCGTTTCAAGGAAAAAGCTACTTTCTCTCCGTTGAGGTTTGCAAGGCCATTTACAAAACTAATGAAATTCCTAAAATTAGGATGTGATTACCTAGTAGACAATGAGACCCATTCCTAAAATACTAGGTTCTTTTGAGTCTTATGACTGGCTATGGAAACAACAAGATGCCTTCTCCCCAGCTCCTTCTTGAAGCTCAACCTAATTTTTTTTATTTTAGAAGCCTGCTAATTAAGGGTTAACCAGTAGGTTCCTAAACTAAAATTTTAGGTTCAGCGTCTAGAATAAGTTGGGGAGGAGACGTTTTATTTTCACAACCAGCCATAAGCCCCAAAAGAACTGGCCAAAAAGTTGTATACAAGTCTATGTGTGCGCGTGCGTCCCTGCAAGAGATGGGTTAATATCCGACCAATTACTCATTGGCTTGGTTTTACAGACATGGCTCTCCTGCCTAACAAACTCGAATGGAGGTACTACCAAAATCATAAATCATGAAATAATTCAAACTACAAAAATGTTATTACAAAAGTCTCTTACTAGTCGTTTGGAACAATTTTGTCATCTAAACTCTAGAAAGTAGACAAACCCTCTCAACTTTCAAATAAAACTTCGTACTCGTTGACTTAAAGGGGTTTGATTAGCAGGTGATGGGATTTTCACACTCTTTGTAGCCCTACCAGTAAAAAATAAAAAAATGTTTAGGATAATGATAATAAACAATTGGATAAATGGGATTTCATTTTTCAAATGAAAGCTTGAAGCCAAACCAGGAATTCGAAAAATTATTGAAAAGTCTTAAAAAAGGCAATAAGTTCATGAATATCCATGGAAAATCAGGAAATATAGGGATTTTCCATGAATGTTTTTAAATTGCTTGTGATTTTTCATTGACTTATTCATAATAGTATATGTCTTTTCATTTTATGTTAGTATTTTGTTTCTTGCAATCAAATTTTCTTGGTAACATATATAGATTTTTCCAATTTGTTTTCTGCTTTGAAATGGAGTGTGATGTTTTTCTCTTCACAAAAATAGTTTATTTTCAATGAATATTTATATCCTTTTCATATTTCTTATTCTTCTTTCACTTCTTTTGTGTTGGTTTGTGCTAGATCTCACAACCATATCATTGGTTAACTGCATTGAGTTGGGAGACAGGTAAATCTAACCACATTTAAAGCTAAGGGTATGCTTATCATGTTTTACAGTTTAAGGACCCAAAAAAACGGTCATAGTTGATAGACTACTACTATATCACATAGCTAATCTACATCATTAATTCCATAGAATGTACTAAGCAAATAATGTACACGTGATTTCTTATAGTGTTATTTATGCTTAATCTAGTACTGTGCCAAATGTATAGACTGGTCAGTAGACAGGGTTAGATCTTCTCTAGCACTAGTGACTCAATGGCAAGAAAGCATTTTAGTTAAGCTTGAGAATTGCCCCACTTTATTCTATTGAGGGTCATGGGTTTATCAGCTACCACTATCTGAAACCATAATGCTTCTTTTACTATCGGAGTTTCACATTTGACAATCTATGTGAGTTGTGGAGACAATTAATCTAAAACATTCTCCAAAGACACCTCTAATGTATTCACGTAATTTCATAAAACTGCAAATAGCTTAAATTTGTAACTGCACAAGATGTTGATGGCCCTGCAAAAAAAGCAAGATGTTTGATGGCACCCAAACAATGGTGCCAATTTAGTCATATATTTTCTGCGGAGTATCTAACACTTGAGTTTTTTTTAATTATTTGGATTGCTTACCACATGTGTCATGTGGTACCTAACACTTGAGTTATCTTCCCATACAACCGCATAACTTGCGGTGGGGTTCCACTACGAAAAACAATAAAAGAAACAATAGAAATTACTATTCAGCCACATCAGAGTTACTTTATTTAAAAAGTATCTTAAAAATTTCAAAAAATATTCTGATCCATCAAACAGTAGTTTGTTCTTGTATTAACCATGTGATCTTGTCACAGTACCTTGCTAAGTTTTCATAATTTCCACATGACCGTTGGATGCCAGTCTGGCGGCAAGGAGCTGCATGTTACTGTAAACTGTTTGCTGGACGTTTCTCATGAAGAACGCATTGCCGTGTTTAACTGTACGTAATGGAATAAAATCACGTCGAAGTATTTTCTACCGGATGTAGTATTTGGACTGTACCTCACCCTGTGTGTGTTGTGCAACTTAGAGCATCTCCAGCCGCGCCTCAGGAAAGGCCTCCCTAAACGATTTTCTCGCGCCGGCATTCAAAAAACGGCCCAGTCACGTCCCAAAAGTCCGATTTTCGCCGGCCTGAGCCGAAAACAGCGCCAACGGACTCAGGCCAAACCCGGCACGCTGGGGGGCGCCGGGTCTAACTGTTTTGGCGCGAAAAAGCTGCGGGTCAGCCGCGTCAGCGACACGTCGCCTCGCCTTCCCCCAACGGCCTCGGTTCCCGCGGGGAATCAATGGCAAGGCTGCCGCTGGTCAGCCTTGCCATTGATTCCTCACGGGTGGCACTTCACGGGACGGCGTGCCGATGCCTTCCCTCCCTCGCACGCGTTCACACGGGCGCGGCGCGACTATATAGCCGGTGACCTCACTCGCCTGTGCCCACACTAGCCCCGCCCCTCGCCGCCGCGCAGCCCCTCCCCCTACCTCTCCCTTGCGCCGCCGCCCAGCCCCTCCCTCTCCCTCTCTACCTCTCCTGAGCCCGTTGCCATGGCAGAGCGTTTCCCCGGAGACGAGGCGGCGGCCAACGGCTTCGGTCGCCGTTCACTGCGCGAACAGAAGACCTGGCTCCTGTTCCAGGAGAACATCCCGGCGCCGCCGGACATGCGCGCCGGGCCGACGGGGTGGAGACTCAGCGACGGGGGAGTGCCCGTTCCCCCGTTGCCCGACGCCATGGCCAAGCCCAAATACTTCGCCGAGGAGGTCGAGGTCGCACGCGCCTCCCTCACCGACGCCCAGCTCTCCCTTCCCCAGTACGCCGCCGACAACCACGCGGCTTGGGCGGCGTACTTCGAGCGCCGCCAGCAGCAGCGGTTGGCGTCCACCAACGACGCGCCGGTGGTCGGCGGCCAGAAGAACAGCGAGGGGTGCCACTTGTGGTGGGGCGTCTCCGGCCGCACACTCGAGGGCGTGCTGGCGTACCTCCAGGGAGGCAACGACCCGCCGTTGGCGTACCCAGCGAGGGTGGCCGCCCCGGCGCACCACCGACGCGTCGGGCCATGGGCGCCAAGGAGGTTCGGGTCCTCCTCATCTTCTTCCTCCTCGTGATCTTCCTCGCACTCCTCCGGTACTCCGGCCCTGCTCCGCGTCAAGGCCGAGCCCGCAGCGGAGACGCCGCTCGGCTGGCGCACTCGCAGCGCCGGCATCGTCATCAACAAGGCGGCCGGCGCGCCTCCTCGTCGACTCCTCCTCCGCGCTTCGTCAAGCCAAAGACGGAGCCGGGGCTCGCGCCGGTGAAGACGGAGCCGGGGCTCGCGCCGGTGAAGAAGGAGCCGGCCGCGCCGGTGAAGACAGAGCTCGACGACGACGACGCGACCCTGGAATGGGCGTGCAGGGACTCCATAGCGATGGAGAAGGAGCGTCTGGAGAAGGCGAAGGAGCACCAGTGCGCCGCCCTGCGCCGCTTCGCGGAGCGCCGACGCGGCCGCGACGAAGGTGGAGTCGTCGTCATCTGCGACAGCGACGACGACGACGCGCCGCCGCCACCAGCCCGCGTTGGCTTCGCCGGTGAGGGGTCCACCAGGGACGGCCGCGTCAAGGAGGAGAAGTCCGACGACGGCGGCGACAATGGCGGGGACGACGGCGACTACTCGGCGTTCAGCCAGTTTCTTTTTTAGATTAGTTATCTATTTTGCTATGTAATGAAAATCCGCGAACATGTCTAATATATGCCCAAGTTTGCCAAAATTTATCGTGTTTAACCGAACTTCGCCGAACTGTGCCGAAATTTGCTATACAGATTTTATTTTTAAACATGCCGGGGGCGGCCCTGAGGCCGGCGGCTGGGGACCAACTCGCCCCAGGTTCAATTTTTACGCCGGCTCACCACCAGGCGGCGATTTTAGACGCCTCCTGAGATGGCAATGGCTGGAGATGCTCTTAGCCGCGTGGTCAGGGTTTTGCTAGTTGGCCCGTTGGCCGGAGCTCACCGTCCGTGAGCATGATTTCGAATAATCTTCACGAGTAGCCCACTGACTGGTGACTGCGCTTGCGAAGAAGAAAAGCCCGACGAGTCCACGGCTCCACGCCATTCGCTGGCCGCAACAAACCTCCAGCCAGGCTGTGCTGCCCCCACACCCGGCTACACGACAACGCTCCCTCTGCCTCCCCGCTGCGTCTCCCTCTGCCGCTCCGCTATATATACCTCTTCCTCCCCATCACCGTCTCCGGCAGCAACCACACCGCGCAACATTACCACCGCAACAGCGCGAACAAGAGAAGAACCAGACAGTAGCAAGCAGCAGCAGCAGTAGCACACACGTGACGACCAAGACGGAATGGGTCTTTGTGTGTCGTACGACGCGGCGGCCGACGGCCCGGCGACCGCGAGAGTGGTGCTCCCCAGCGGCGAGCTCCGGGAGTACTCGCCGCCCGCGACGGCGGCGATTGCGCTGGAGGAGGTGGGCCAGCAGGGGTGGTTCCTCTGCGACGCCGACAGGATGGGGTTCGAGGGCTCCGTCGCGGCGATGGCGGCCGGCGAGGAGCTCCAGCCGGGGCAGATCTACTTCGTCCTCCCCGCAGAGATGCTGCGCCGCCGCCTCACCGGCGAGGAGGTGGCCTCGCTCGCCGTCAAGGCCAGCGCCGCCCTCGTCAAGGCCGCCACCGCCTCCTCTGCCGGCGGCCGGCGCCGGCGAGGCTCCGTGGCGCCGCTCGTGTTCGCGCCGTCGGAGGAGGACTACTCGAACGAAACCTTGGCGACGTTTGCCGTGAAGCCGGCGGTGCCGCAGAAGCGGAGGGTGGCCTTCCGAGGCGGGAGGTCGCCGCCGAGGTTCTCGCCTGACTTGACGGCCATCCTGGAGAGCGAGTAGAGCCGCGGAGCGCACGAGACTGCCAGAAAAGAAAAGCATCTTTGCACAAAGCCCTGCCTCGCCTGGCCGCGAGTGATGCGTGACCCGGCCGCTAATGTTGGATCGAACGGCGGCGACGCGGTAAATGATATGTGGAGTTAGGGCTCTCCCAGCTCCACCGAATCCACGATTTCAGCTTCTGGAGCGAGCTCCTCACTTCACCCAGCGATCAAAAAACGTTCTGGAGGGACGCTGGCTTCTCCCTTCGCTGCAGCCCAGCTGGGAGGCAAAAAGCCTGTTAGGCTCCCCATTGGGCTGGCTGGAAGCAGCCCAGATGTGCAGCAGAGTTTTTTTTTCACAGTTGTCATGCCTTGGGCTAGCTAGGCTGTACGTGGTGATACACACATTTGGCGTGTTAAAAAAAAGGATACACATATGGCTGGGCGGGGCTGTACGTGGTGCCTTGGGCTTATAGCATGCAAAGTTCTTGTTAATACAGTAGCTACTGCAGCTACTTTTGCTGTACAGGAACATGTACAGAGAGATCACCATTTGGTACATGGAGCAACAAATATTCGAAAGATCCCAAATTTTCGGAGCTAACATAGGTCATAATTTAGCAGAAAAACTTGTTCATGCCACAAAAGCTTCATTTGCCAATAAGTTTGCAAATCAATATGGTCACGCATAGAAAATCATGAACATGATTTCTTCACCAACTAAGAGCAATGGCTGTAGCTAGTTCATGCCTAAACAAATCCATGTTAGGACCGCTTTCTGCCGTTGTTGAAGCATCCGATGCATTTGAAGGAATAGCATACTTCTTGTATCTATCAGGAATAGTTGGAACATAATCCGGATCCCTCTCACACCGAAGAAAGTGGAGATCCTCTTTGTCATGGAGGCGGACGTAGTTGTGTAGTGTCATGGTAGCCGCAACAATCATCTTTTGTGTTGCAATCGAGTAGTTTGGCATCTTGAGCAAGATTTGCCATTTCATCTTCCATACACCAAAGGTTCTCTCTATGGTATTGCGCTTGGAAGAGTGGAGCCGGTTGAACTTCTCTACAGGAGTAGTTGGGGGCGCACCTCTCTGGAAGTCGGGGATGTGATAGCGTTCTCCTTTGTAGGGTGCTAGATAGCCATCTCTGTTAGGATAACCGGCGTCTACAAGGTAATACTTGCCTACACAAAGCAACAACAAACATGATTGTGAGTTGGAGGATATGTTACATAAGTTGCAACAAAAAGATATATACTAACCCTTGGGAGGATGTGGGAATATGGCCTTGTCATTTTCAATTGCATGGAATAGGACACTTGTGTCATGCATAGAACCCGGTTGTCCAATTGAAGCGTAGGTGAAATGCATATCAAAGTCGCATACTGCCATCACATTTTGAGTTGTTGCACCCGTTCTTCCAATGTACCTTACTTTTGAAGGTCCTTCCGGAATAGAAGCCCTAATATGTGTCCCATCTATTGCACCAATACAATCTTTGAGGTGAGGAAAAGCCCTTTTGTCACGCTTAATCCTATCATGCACAATGTGAAAATTTGGGTCTTGAGGCCTAATGTAGTGAGATGACATCTTGATCACACAATGTAGAACCTCATGGAACTTACGATGGACCGTATCTGCTCCATGTTTGAAACGGTTTTGGGTTCTCCTATTTGATTCACAACCCCCCAAGGTCCATAAGAACATAGCTAGAGACTCATAAGTGGTAACAAAGCATGTTTCTTTGAGGCCATACTCTGCCACCAACTTGTCATGAAGATCAAAGAACACATGTGCATTCATTCTCAACATTGTGTATGTCTCTCCGGGAGTGCCAATAGTCTCTTGCCACCATTCAAAACCAGTCAACCTAGATGTCCTAGGTTCGGCCTTCATGACCCAACTTTTACAATACTTACCAACTATGGAAGACACGCCTGAACAACGCATGTCCATATCATGTTGATATTGTAAAACCATAATTTTCTTTCTTTCATAATTAGTGTCATCATCACTTTCACTATCCGATGACATCTGCATATAAACAATCACCAACATATGAAACACAAGTTAGCATCTATTGGATCAACAACATAGACATAATGCAAAGATAAATAACAAACACTAGGTTAAACAACATAGACATAAAAGATGGTTCCATAAAGCCTACATAAATAGATGGAATGGTATCAAGTAGTTCCCATACTTTAAGAAGTAGGTTCAACATAAAAGACATAAATAGTTTTGATAGCAAAGGATAATCGACCATCACACATAGATGGAATATAAACTAACTACTTCGCATACTTCAAGTCATATTTCCTACGCAACCAACCCTTCCGAGAGTCAGGAGGCATGTAAAGAAACATCTCCCTTTGCGCCCTCTTCACAAACAACTCGCTAGCCATGAAGAACTCATCGGTATCAACTGTTGCACCACAAACAATGACTTCGTCCATGACCGAGGTGACACAGTTCGCCTCATCTTGCTTTAGGAAAGACTGAAATGACGAGTGAGAAGCCTCGGCAATGTCACCAATCCTTGTAACTTGCTCACACATCACTTGTGCGGGCTTGGGTTTCTTGTTCTTTTCTGGAATGATGATTCCAAGCCTCACTTTAGATGAAGTAGGTGTTGCCTGAGATGCTTGTTCTTCCATATCATCCAAATCAAGGTCCTCAATCTCGTCAACATTGATGGATTCTTTCACTGCCGCACTAGAGGGGGGAGGTATGCCAGAAGAGGGATTCCAATGGTCAGTACCATCAGTTGTGATATCTCCAAAAATAACCCGCAACTTTTCTTCATTAGCAAGTCCTTTCTTCTTGAACTTACCACAACCTTTAATATCCTGTAATGCAACAAGTGAAACACATTATTAGTAAATAAAGAGATATGGCTAAATTAAGATACACGATATAACAGCAAAAGAACTCACAATTTTAGCCTTCTTCCACCACTCATCATCTTGTGACACGGTGTTGTTCACATAGTCGCATCCGGCTCCGGTCTCCCGAAACTTGAGTTTCTTGAACAAGGTGAAATCAGCTTTAAGCTTGTCCCATTTGTTTTTCAATTGGGTATGTGTGTAGTCAAGCCCGGTTCTCATCTTAAATTGTCTTGTCACCTCATCAAATGCATTTGGGGTCAAATAATTGCCTGGCCTATTTCCAGCGTCCACTTGCTCGGCGAAGAACTCGCACACAATCCGAGTGTTTTCAACACTCCATTCAGCAGTCATGCTTGACACTTATCTACGAAAATGCATGTCACATTGGTCCTCACATGTACTAGCATAATATGTAAACTGAAGTTTTTTGCAAAGCCAAAATCATGTCATATCTGAACAGCACTTTACAAAGCAACTAATATCTTAGCAGTACAGCTAATATCTTAGCACTACACAATTCAAACTGTTAATATGCTACCAGTACTACACTTCACAAATTACATTCACCCAATCAGGCAGGCACTAGTTCATACTGTATATATCTTAGCAGTACACATACAACACTGCACAAAAAATCAGTTTCCGTTAACAGTACAGGAGCTCAAAAATTCAGTTTCCATTAACAGTACAGGGGCACCAAGTCTGACATAGAAGCTCACCTTGTGGTTTGGGCGAGGGGGCTCGGCCTCTGGGCTGCTGCTCCTGGCTCCGGCGTCAATGGCGACCTGCTGAGTTCGCCATTGTCAAGGGCTCGCTGCTCCAACCTGGTGCCGGGACGAGCGCTGCTGAGCAGGGGATCCGGCGGGAAAGAGGCCGGGGTGGCCGGATCTGTACGCGCAGGAGGGGATTCGGCCGGCGACGGGGGCAGCGGGTCTGGCGGCGCGACTGGCGGCGGCGAGGGTTTGAGGAGGGAGCAGAGGAGCGAGAACGGTTCGAGTCTGGGCTTCTCTGTTCTGTACGCGAGCCGTGCAAGGAGGATGTGCGCGCCAATCGTTTTCCTTGGCGGTGGCAAAGCACTGTAAATACAAGGAACTCCAGATTCTGTCGATTCGTGAAGCTGGGTTTTCCTCGCTCCGCAAAAATGCACTACGGCCCATCCCAGCTTCGCTATTTCAGCTTCTCGGAGCTAATGCGTTCGGCTTCGTTTTTCACGTGGAGTTTGGGAAGCTCAGAGTGGGAGAGTTCCAGAACAGGCCCTTAGTTTCTCGAGTTGGGTCGTAGGGATAGTCGCGTTTTGGACGTTGTTAATACTATACACGTCAGGAACATGTAGGGAATGCACATACAGATAGATCAATGTAAATAACTGTATAAACAATGTGGGCCTAAACTCCACTGCTCGTGCCCTCATCTCCTATTCTAAATAGTTAGCCCCCACTAAGTATTTCTCTCAACATGCAAGTATCCCACCTCATCATTCAACATGCATGGAAAAAGGTCCATCTCAACATGCAACTATTCATATTAAAATTCCACCTCAACATGCAAACATGCAAGCATGAAAAGATCCATCCTATTGTGCTATTTACATTTTACTAGTATATTCGTTCAAAAAACTACTATTTCAAATATTCATGTTTCATATAAAAACTTTATTGAAATGTTGCAAAACGTTCCCGCAACAACGGGCCGAGCTTCATCTAGTTTTTATGTTTGTCATGTGCAGGAGTAATCCTCCGCGTTCGAAGCCAATAATCGAATTGGAACCTGTAAAATTTAGGGCATGTGCGGAACTTAAAATTGAGGCCTAACTCTTTGGAAAATCTATAGTACTGTCATAATTTTTACTTGAAAAACATCATCATCTTTATTTGAGAGTGGATAATGACATCCATAGCAATGTGATATATCAAGAATCGTACCTTCGGTATGCAGAATGCCGGACATAACTCTCACTCTCCCTCTATTTGCTCCTTATCCAGCACAATGAACGGCATTGTGCTAAAAAAATGAACGCATCTTGCCCGACAAGTCAAGAAATAAAACAAGCAAAACAGAATTTTACCGATTAGGGTCTACACCAGATCAATCACAATTCATAAATTGTCAAGTTCGCAAATCACAACAAC